CATTTGATCATTACAGTTGGTTTCGGTACAAACACAAAATTCCTTCCTGTGGCTTAGAAGGAATCTGACCTTTGTCTGCTTTTCCACCTTCATGTGTCACCATTCCAGGCTCAAACACTGAGGTCCAACTATCCTATTTTGTTCACTTCCTTCAGTGGTTATGCAGTGACTGAGGGACGTTCCCTTGGTCCTTTCTTCTCTCCCTGATATTTCCTCCACCCTTCTTCCTCTGGCTATGCTGATCCTGTAGATCCCCATGGAGATGATAAATAGGATAAGAGTTTCAAGGTCTGGGTGGTTCTTCTTAAATACTATTCTTGCTAAATATTAGAATGTAGCCCAATATTTTGCACACGTAGCTGTAACTTGATGAAGGAAATCCAACAGAATAAGATTAGCCAACTGCAAAGAAGAAATCAACATGTAATTTAAAAATATATATATTTTATTGATTTTTTTTACAGAGAAGAAGCAAGAGGGATAGTTAGAAACGCGGAAGAGAGAATCATTGACCAGCTGTCTCCTGCACACCCCCCATGGGGGATGTGCCCGCAACCAATTTACATGCCCTTGACCGGAATCAAACCTGGGACCTTTCAGTCTGCAGACCAATGCCCTATCCACTGAGCCAAACCGGTTTCGGCTCAACATGTAATTAACCAAATAGTGTATATATGTAATGTTTAAGCCTCCCTTGGAGAGACAGAATTTTTGGATGTAAATAAAACTACCTAATGACAACCATGTCTGATCCTTGAATAGAACACCCTAAGCAGGGAACCCCTTGAATTTGGTAACAGAGACATCTTTATTCTAGGAAGTGTTTCCGGATTCCAAGTCCAGCTTAGCTGCCTCTTCCTACAGCTCTTTTCAGACTGTATTTAACTTGCTGTTTATTTATCTTTCTTCTCCTCTTGAACCATGATCAGCTTGAAGACAGGGATCCTGGCATCTGGGGACTCAGGGACTGGCATGGAATCTGGCACATAGTAGATAATAAATATTGAGTAACAGCCTGCTTAAAAAAATTGAATATGTGGAAATAAATAAAAACCAGCCAAAGGACACAAGCAAGGGCTATCTATTCAGAGTAGAACAAGGAAGTCAACCACCATTATTTGCTTTTTTGCAAAGATTCAAGACAGGCAGTGGGTTGGAAAAGCCGCATAGTGGAAAGAAGAGAAGGAATCAAGTACACCCTGATTGCAGCCATTGACATAGGAAAGCTGTAGCTGGCTAACTAGAAGTGGAGTAGCCACAAGATTGGTTAGGGGTGCATAATTAGCTTTCTTTGATTGGTCCTAAGTTGGAAGGACAAAATTTAGGGAAGCTGTTAGTTATTAACTGAGTCCTGCCCATTTGGAGGCAACTGTTACAGGGGCTATTGTTTGGCTTCCTGGACTGGTTGCCTGAGATAGCTATCTAACTTTCTATGAGTCTGACTTGTAGATAGTAGGTTGGCTTCCTGGGCTGGTTGCTACAGATTTTGGGTCAGAGTTTTATTTTTATACATGGTTTGGTCATTGCCCATTTGTATATTCAGTCTCTTAAACTAATATTTATTAGCATCTACTGTTCACCATACTTTGTATTATGTTGTATATGTAATGCCTCATTTACTTTTAACCATACCTCTGTAGGGTAGGTATTACCATTTCTACTTAACCTTGACAACTTCCTCCTTAAAAACTCATGCTATTTACATTTTCTGTCTTCTAGCCCTCCTTGATGCCTTAGGTTGTCTCCTGACCTCACTCCTCACCCAAATTCACTAAGGTTAGGGTTTCTGAAGTTCTCTTCCAGCCCAAGGCTGCCATCTTCTCAGATATGCCATTATCCTTACTCAGTTCCTTCCTACAATGCTAGATTCCTAGTTCTGGATTTCTTCATCTTCAGTGACCTTCAATCCAAACCTCTTTAGTCACCCATACCTTAACCATCAAGCATATCAGTCATCATTAACAGGATAAGTCTCATCTCTGATAGATAAATACTATCATCTATTCTGTGATTAAAATAATATCCTACCCTTTTAGTTCTTCTGGGAAGCAATTAATTTTGGGTAAGGGCATTATGGTAAGATTTCAAAATACTTTTTAGTATTTTCTAAGGTATCTAAAATGTACTACATGAATAATACCCCCAAATCTTCTAAATATTATTTTTTAATCTTTAAAAATTAGTGTCATCTACCTGCCTACCCATCACTCTTTCTCTCTCCTAGAAGGAACAGGAAAGGAAAGAAGTCCATGTAACATTATACAGTCTCTGTTATAATGCAATCAGAATCTATAATGATGAAGCTTCTTTAAAATGAAGTTACTAAAATTATTTTGAAAGATCTCCAAAAGTCATGACAAACATAATTGACATAAATCATGTTTGAGTGGCTATGTTCCAATATGCTGGGTATGATGATTAATTTTATGTCTTAACTTGGCTAGGCCATGGTACCCAGTTGCTTGGTCAAACATCCGGTTGGATGTTGCCGTGAAGGTATTTTTAAAGATGTGATTAACATTTAAATCAGTAGATGTTGATTAAGTAGATTACCCTTCATAAAGGAGGTAGGCCTCATTCAATCAGTGGAAGACCTTAAAAGAAAAGACTGAGGTGCCTTGAGGAAGAAGAAGGAATTCTGCTTCTAGACTGCCTTTAGACTCAAGGTGGCAGCCTCAACTCTTCCCTGGTCTCCGGCCTATTGGCCTGCCCTACAGATTTTGGACTTGTTAGCTCACACAATCTCATGAATCAATTCCTTAAAATTTCTACCTATTCACATCCTATTGGTTCTGTTTCTCTGGAGAACCTTGACTAATACACCGGGCAAACGACCATATGTGTAGGACAAGATTCCCACACACAGCACAAACGACCAACAGGATCCACCTCTGTAAATTACTTCCTCTCGCCTCTAGCTATTAGTCTTCTACACTTCTAACTCCTTCTCATTAAATCTGTCCTAACATCTGATAACATGCATTTACGGTTGTTGACTAAGAGATTATACTTAGTTTAGTAGATGGTTTTAGTCAGTGCATGGGGTCATTATTAGCATTTTAAGTTTCTTGTTTCCAAGTTGAAGAAGAGTCTTAACATTATCCTTGAATAAAGAATGTTCCACTAATAGGCTAAGAGATTTATTTATCATAAGGCATCTTTTTTTTTTTTAATATAATCTTATTGGTATCAAAGAGGAGGGGAGACAGAGACAGAAATAGAAATATCAAAATGATGAGAGAGAATCATTGATTGGCTGCCTCTTGCACGCTTCCAACTGGGGATCCAGCCTACAATCCCGGCATCCAACTGTGACTTCCTGGTTCAGAGGTGGATGCTCAACAATTGAGCCACACTAGCCAGGCATCCTGAAAGTAAATCTGTCTTAATCCTTCAGGGTGGGGCATGGCAGGTTTTATGCAATCTTAAATTTATACAATTTGAGGTCCCTAATTAGAAAAAAGAATACAGAGATATCTCACTTTTGCAATTTTCAGTAACATGTGATCATACGGACGCCTTGTGATGGCTCCTCCCAGGGCTTTGGGCAGAAGATGTAAAGTGAGGGGCTCTGAAGCTCAAGTTTTATTAGCTTCAGGGTAAATCTGGCTTTGCTTCTGGGGTTTTCAGGGCAGGGGACCAAAAGGAGGGTGCTGGCCTCTCCTTGGCGTGGTTTCTGCTTTGCTGGGGCGGGAAGCTGAGGCTGGCTGGGTTCCAACTGCTGGAGGAAGATACACTCATCTTCCTCTAGATCCAGCGTGTCCCTCTCCTCTAAGCCCTGACACCGGGAGTTGTCAGATCCTTGCCCCATTTCTATCCCTTCTCTTTCTCTTTCCCAACCCGTTGTCCCAGAGCTTCCAGGCTTTTGCACACTGTTTCCTTAGGGAGTGTCCAGTGATATTGTAGGTGACAGCACGCAGCCCTGCAAATGCAAACGCCTCTCTCTGTCCTGAAGCTGCCCAGTTTCTGAGGACAGCATTTGGGGCTGGTGGATGCAGCTGCTTCCTGAGTGGGCACTTTTCTCTGGGTCTTTTCTCCGAAGCTCTGGGCAGCATCTCCTCCCTTCCTCCTGCCTCTTCAGACTTCCACGTGCTGGTTTATCCATCTGACAGAAGCACGCGCATGCTATTTGAAGCACTGGCTTTCTAATCATAGCCAGAGACAAGTGTTTTTATCTAGTTTGCTTTTCTGTACTTCACTGATTTACCGGCACCCCCCGTCCTCATTCTGGGAGAAGCTCCACTGAATGAAAATGTCTGCAAATTCCAGGGTCTCTCTCAGCTCAGAGTTCCTTCCCTTCTGCTCCCACCAACTGAAATCTGGGCGTTTTCTTTATCTTACCCTAGAATCACTCACACAAGACACATATGTATCATAGAGTTTACTGAACAAGTTGGAACAATGGAGTTTTTGACATTAGAGCAAAAACCAAACAAGTTAAATTATGTAACTATCATTCTCATTTCTCACAACCACTTTTGGGAATTTCTCTCTTGCCTCCTTTCTCCCCAGACATGAGCCTCTGCCAAATTGGCTGGTCTCCCTTCCCACTCATCCCCTTGTCCCTTAGAAGGTAGAAGTAGCCCCATTTAATTGAGATTAAACAAAACAACAACAGCACAAGTTCTTCATCTTGTTACACATAGTGTGGGTAAAAAACAGAGAAAAATGAAGAAAACAGAAGACCTCACCATTCTGCAAAAATGGAACCCTCTCATTCACACATTGCAGACCTTCAGCTGTACACACACACACACACACACACACACACACACAGCCAGTCAGCCTTGCCTTAGATATCTGGAGAGAACTCTCTCTGAGCCCCCAGCAACACCCCACTTCCCTATATTTACTCATTTCATTTTCTCCTCTTGGATCCCCAAAGCTGTCACCGAAAATCACTGCTCCTTGTTCTCATTTCATGTAAGTCCACGGCCAGGAATCATCCTGAATAGTGATACAGGGAAGAGGCAGACCTGGAGAGGACAGTGAAGCACTCCTAGGAGCTGGAAGGTTTATTGAGGAACAAGGACGATGATTCCTGTGATGGAAAGCCATATTGTAGACCCCAGGACATGTCCATGCTATGCACACAATGGGCATCTCCCATGCTATGCACACAATGACAAAAGGCTGGCACAAAGACGGGTTCTAATCCTAGACACCGCCATCTTGCTGATCGGCCCCTGCCCTGAGTTTCTCCAGCTCGTCACTGCTGTAGCCTGTTGGGCATGGCTGGTATTTGGCACCGGAAGTCTCTGTCCAGGAGGAGCAGTGATGATGCCAGAGGCTGCAGATGCCATAGACAGTGGCCAGTATGGCTGCCCCTAAGCCCAGGTGCCAGCAGAAGAAGATGGCGAGGAAAGTGAGGTCCTCATGGTTTTCTGATCGCCAGGACTGCCCGGAGGGAGGGACGTACATCACCAGGCAGAGCTGCAGCATCCAGGTGCTCGACACCAGTACCAACCAGGTCTTGAGCACCCAGAGTTGGGGCTGGTCCGGGACCCAGACCTCCATGGCGAGCACCAGGCTGACCAGGAAGATGGGCACCATGAACAGGATGTGCACACGGATCTCCAGGGCGCTCTTGTTCTCAAGGTGTGCCATCAGCAGCAGTGCCATGATGCAGAAGGCCAGGGCCTCGGCCGCTCGCTCCAGCTTCATACTCTGCCGTGCCAGGCACGACTGGCTCACAATGTCCACCACACCGCTGAGCATGAAGAACCCGTACATGGTGCTATGATGCCAGTTTTCCGAGAATAGGAATGGCCGCCGAGGGTCCTCCCAATTGACTAGCTTCATCCGGTTGACTCCTGGAGGGAAGAAGAACTCTGACAAAATGCCAGTCAGGCTGACGACGACCTTCACCACTCCTTCCACAGGGACCGGCTTCCAGCTGTGATCTCGCTTCTCCTTCGGGGGGAGAGGGAGCTTGAGAAACCTCTGTCCCCGTAGCAGGGCCAAGGACACCAGCACTGAGTAGTAGAATGAGAAGAAGAGCAAGCATACCCCTGCCAACAGGTGTCCCTCAAGGGTGCCCATGGTCTCGGCGTATGTGTCGGGGCCAACAGGGTGAGAGCTGGCAGAGGAGCGGCGACCTCACAGGGCTCTCCTCACAAGCAAGCGTGGCTGCTTCTGAGCAGGGGAGAGAGAGATCTCCCTAATCAGCCCCGCCCCAGCCTCCCACACCTGGAAAAGCATGCCTCACCTCCTGTGTTGGAAGCATCTGAGTTCCTCCCAGGGTGGGTCCCTTTAAGAGACGTGATGTTTCACCGCGCTCTGTTCCTCACGGAGATGGGCAAGGCCTAGCATCGCCAGCTCTGCACCTCCCTGCAGGCACTGGCTTACCCTTTCTCTTCCGCCTTCCACCTCACCCCTCAACAGAGAGCCGGGAGGGAAAGGGTTAAGCTACTCCAGCCAAGAGGAGAGGTGGCCTACTCTCTTCTATGACTGTCTCTAGGTGCCAGGCACGTTGAATTTCCCCCCCCCCCCCATTTAAATCCCTCAACAACTAATGAGGGAGTTATCGTTAAGCAACATTTACAGATGACATCAAGGCTCAGAGGGGTGAAGGGTACCACAGGGTAAGACACCTAGCAGCTAGCACAGCAGAGCCAGAAAGAGGTCCCAGGTCTATTTATCCGTTTACAAAGTTCAGAGTTTGTCATGGCAAAATGACTGAATCTCAGCTCCAACCTTGCAAGTTTCATGATTACGGGCAAGTTACTTTGTCTTCTTGAGCCTCAGTTTCCTGATCTGTAGAATGAGAACAATAATTATTCAAAGGTCTGTTGTGAAGATTAAATAGAATAATGTATGCAGAGATACATATTAAGTACTCAATAAATGGTGGTGATTATTAGTAATTAAACTGTTGCTGTTATTAACATTCCTATAATGCTGAAGTTGTGCAAGTATTTATATGAATGATACTGAGGCAGGATTCATAAAGTAAAAAGTCAAAAGTTAATTATATTTAAAAATAATAAAGTTTTGCCAAAACCGGTTTGGCTCAGTAGATAGAGCGTCACCCTGCGGACTGAAAGGTCCCGGGTTTGATTCCGGTTGGTTGCAGGCACATCCCCAGTAGGGGGTGTGCAAGAGGCAGCTGGTCGATGATTCTCTCTCATCAATGTTTCTAACTCTCTATCCCTCTCTCTTTCTCTCTGTAAAAAAAGTCAATAAAATATATTTTTTAAAAATGATAAAGTTTTTTAAAAATATATTTTTATTGATTTTAGAGAGGAAGGGAGAGAGAGAAAGAGATAGAAACATCAATGATGAGAGAGAATCATTGGTCAGCTGCCTCTTGCATGACTTCCACTGGGGATCGAGCCTGCAACCCAGGCATATGCCCTTGACTGGAATCGAACCTGGGACCCTTGAATCAGTAGGTTGACACTCCACCCACTGAGCCAAACCAGCTAGAGCTAAAAATGATAAAGTTAATTTTTTTTTTTTTCAGAGAGGAAGAGAGAGGGAGATAGAGACAAGAATCATTGATCAGCTGCCTCCTGCAGCCCCATACTGGGAATCAAGCCCACAACCCAGGCACATGCTCTGACAAGAAATTGAACTATCACCTCCTGGTTCATAGGTTGATGTTCAACCATTGAGTCAGGCAAATTTTAAAGTTTTTTAATGAATAGAAATGAAACATGCCAATTAATAATTTTTTAAATTTGTATATTAAATTATTGTCAACAAATTTCAAAAGAAAAATGAACTGTAAAATTTTACCCCAGTGGGTTATGAAGGCAGGATCACCAACCCAATGGACCAGAGAGCAGAGCATTAAACCAAAGAGAATTATTCTCTATCCTTAAGATCTAATGACATTTGTCTTGCTAAGTTTTGAACTTGCTTTGGGAGCATCACCCCTTTCTTCCAATTTATCCCTTTAGAATAGAAATATTTACCTATGCCTTGTCACATGACTGTATAACTTTTCTGGTTCCACAAATTCACAAGTGGAGAGTTTTGCCTCAAGATAAATCATACTTTGTGTCTCGCCCATACCTGATTTAGATATTATTTTATTTTAAAAAATTATCTTTATTGTTGAAAATATTACAGATGTCCCCTTTTGTGTGTGTGTGTGTGTGTGTGTGTGTGTATGTTGTTGACCCCCTCCACCCTGCACCCACTCCTCCCAAGCCTACACCACACTATTGTCTGTGTCCATGGGCTATATATATAAGTTCCCCAGTTAATCTCTCCCCCAACACCACCCCCTATCCCTGTGATTTAGATATTTAGATGAAACTAGATTTTAGAGTTGATGCTGCAATTGGTTGAGATTTTGGGATGGAATAGATATATTTTGCATATATTTATGATTTTCAGAGGATCCAGGAGCAGAATGTTATGGATTGAATGTGTCACCCCGCTTCCCCCCCCCCCCCCCCCCCCCCCAATATTCATATGTTGAAGCCATACCTTCCCAATGTGGTAATAGGTGAAGACGGGGTCTTTGGGAGGCAATTAAGTTTAGATGAGGTCATGAGGGTGGGGCCCCATGATGGGATTAATGCTATAAAAAGATAAAGAGGAACCTGAACTCTCTCTGCCATGTGAGGAATAAGCAAGAAGGTGGTTAGCCGAAACTAGTTTGGCTCAATGGATAGAGCGTCGGCTTGGGGACTGAAGTGTCCCGGGTTCGATTCCGGTCAAGGGCATGAACCTTGATTGCGGGCACATCCCCAGTAGGGGGTATGCAAGAGGCAGCTGATCGATGACTCTCTCTCATCGATGTTTCTAACTCTCTATCTCTCTCCCTTCCTCTCTGTAAATAATCAATAAAATACATTTAAAAAATGTTAAAAAAAGAAAAAGAAAAAAAGAAGGTGGTTGGTTGCCTGCAAGCCAGGAAGTAGGTCTTCAACAGGAACTAAATTGACTAGCCTCTGGATTGTGGACTTCCCAGACAGAACTAGAGAAATAAATATCTGTTACTTAAACCACTCAGTCTGTGGTATTTTGTTATGGTAGTCTAAGCTGACTAATACATCGACCTATTGGTGGTGTGGTATTATTTCCACCCATTTGTGAATTTCCAGCTTTCTTTCTGTTGTTGATTTCTAACTTCATCCCATTTAGTTGAAGATACTTTGTATGATATATTTATTTTAAAATTATTGACAATTGACTTGTGGCCTGGTTCTATGTGCACTTAAAAAATGTGTATTCTGTTGTTGGGTAGAGTGTCCACTTATGTGTGTTAGATTTAGTTAGTTTATTGTGTTGCTCAGTACTTTATTTTCTTACTTATCTTCTGTCTGGTTGTTCTATCCATTACTAAAAATGGAGTATTGAAGTCTCCACCTATTTTTGTATAACTTTCTTCCTTCAATTCTGATCATTTTTACTTCATATATTTTGAGGGTTTGTTATTGGGTGTATAAATGTTTATAATTGTTATATTTTATTGTTTTATTGAACCTTTAATTAATATACTAGAGGCCTGGTGCATGAAATTCATGCACCCGGGGGAGGGGGGGTGGTGGTGGGTGGGTGGTGGTGGTGTTGTCCCTCAGCTCAGCCTGCACCCTCTCCAATCTGGGACATCCTTTCACAATCCATGACTGCTGGGTGCCAAATGTTTGCCTGCCTGCTTGCCAGATTGCCCCTAACCACTTCTGCCTGCTAGCCTGATCACCCCCTAACCACTCCCCTGCCCTAACTGCCCTCCCCTGCTAGCCTGGTCACTAACTCCCCTCTGCTGCTGGTCTGGTTACCCTCAACTGCCCTCCCCTGCAGGCCTGGGATCCCCCCTCCCCTCCCAATTTTCCTCCCCTGCTGGCCCAGTCACCCCTAACTGCCCTCCCCTACAGGTAGGAGAAAGAATTCATGAACTTGAAAAATAAGATTATCAAATCTGAGGAATAGAAAAGTGAACAGGGCATGTGGGAAACAATCAAATAGACAAACATATGCATTGTGAGGGTCCTAGAAGTAGAGAGAGAGAAAGAGGCAGAGAGAATATTTGAGGAAATAAGGGCTGAAAGCTTTCCAAATTTCATGAAAGACATGAATACAAATATCCTAGCAGTCCAATGAAGACTAAGTAGGATGAACTCAAGGAGACCCACATCAAGACTCATTATAACCAACCTAATGACAGCCCAAGAGAGAAGCAACTTATCACTTGCAAGAATCCACAATAAGATTATGAGCAGATTTCTCATTAGAAACTTTAGAAGTCCAAAGACAACAGGCTAATATATATTCAAAGCACTGGAAAAAAAAATAAAAAAATGAAAAAAAAAGCCTGTCAACCAATCATCCTACATTTTTTTTTTTTTCTCCAATCATCCTACATTTGGCAAAATTGTCATTTAAACATAGGGAGAATCTAAGACATTCCCAGATAAACAAAAGCTGAAGTTGTTCATTATTATTGGACCTGCCCCTCCAGAAATTCTACAGGACTTGCATGTTGAAATGAAAGGACACTAGGCAGTAACTTAAACTATTTGAAGAAATAAAGATCTCAATAAAAGTAAACACATGGGCAATTATTAAAGCTAGTACTATTGTAACTTTGGTTTATAACTTCAGTTTTTGTTTTCTACACGATTTAAGAGACTAATACATTTCTAAAAATAATTATTAATCTAAAAGATAGTATTATTATAACACTAGAGGCCTGGTGCATGAATTCGTGCACGGGTGGGACCTTTGGCCTAACCCTAATCGGGGCATATAAGGGGGGCCAGCCAACAGGGGGGAGGGACTGAGGGAGGTTGGCCTGCTGGTCCTCCCAATTGGGGCCCACGGGGAGGGACCTCTGGAGGTCATTCTCATGGCCAGTTTTTGTGGATTAATTTTTTTCCTTTGTAGGACCATATTTCTTGGTTCTTTTTCTGCCTTGTGGTTTTTGTTTATGCTGTGACAACTCTGGAAATCAGATGTACCTCTTTCCCCAGAATTTGCTTTTTTTTGTTTTTTTTGTTTTTGATTGTTGTCGGGCAAGCATGTCAAACTCTCGGCCTGTTGGCCACAGGCCTCGTTCATTTGGCCCGTGTGAATCTTTGAGTTTGACATGCATGTTATAGGGTGTCTCTGTGCCAGGGATCAGCCTGAGGTGTCAAGGCCGTGCTCCAACCAGGAATCCCTCCCACAGCCCAGGTATGTGCCCTGACTGGGAAAAGAACCAGCAACCTTTCGGTGCAAAGGACGACACTCCACCAACTGAGCC